AGATGAGGTTTCACCATATTGGTCAGGCTGGTCTCGAACTCCTGACCTCAGGTGATTTTGCCCACCTCGGCCTCTCAAAGTGATGGGATTACAGGCATGAGCCACTGAACTCAGCCTCAGTCTGAAAATTTTTATTCTATTCTTTTTTTTTTTGACAAAGTCTCACTCCATCACCGGAGCTGGAGTGCAGTGGCGTGATCTTGGCTCACCGCAGCCTCTACCTCCTGGGTTCAAGCAGTTTTCCTGTCTCAGCTTCCTGAGTAGGTGGGATTACAGGTGCCCGCCACCACACCCAGCTAATTCTTTTGTCTTTTTAGTAGAGACAGGGTTTCATCATATTGGCCAGGCTGGTCTCTAACTCCCAACCTCAGGCAATCTGCCTGCCAAGGCCTCCCAAAGTGCTGGGATTACAGGCATGAGCCACCGCACCCAGCCTACTTTTTTTTTTTTTTTTTAAGAATGGTTTAGGCTGGGTGCGGTGGCTCACGCCTGTAATACCAGCATTTTGGGAGGCCGAGGTGGGCAGATCACCTGAGGCCTGGAGTTTGAGACCAGCCTGACCAACATGGAGAAACCCCGTCTCTACTAAAAATATAAAATTAGGCATGGTGGTGCATGCCTGTTATCCCAGCTACTTGCAAGGTTGAGGCAGGAGAATTGCTTGAACCTGGGATGTGGAGGTTGCAGTGAGCCAAGATTGTGCCATTGCACTCCAGCCTGGGAAACAAGAGTGAAACCCTGTCCCCAAAAAAAAAAAAAAAAAAGAATGGTTGAACTCCCTAAATTGATTGCATGGTCCACACTAATGAGTGTTGAGGAAGTATGAAAAACACTTTAGGAACTTTTTTCTTTTTGAGATGGAGTCTTGCTCTGTCGCCCAGGCTGGAGTGCAGTGGTGCAATATCGGCTCACTGTAACCTCCGCTTCTTGGGTTCAAGCGATTCTCCTGCCTCAGCCTCCTGAGTAGCTGGCATTACAGGCACCCACCACCACGCCTGGCTAAGTTTTGTATTTTTAATAGAGATGAGATTTCACCATGTTGGTCAGGCTGGTCTTGAACTCCTGGCCTCATGATCCACCCACCTTGGTCTCCCAGAGTGCTGGGATTACAGGCGTGAGCCACTGCACCCAGCCAGTACTGTTTTCTTAAACAGGGAGTACTGAGAGATAAAACCAATCGCATGCTTTGGAATGATAAAATTAAGTGGCAGCAAACATGTTTAGGAAATAGACTGGGTAGCAGAAGGCAATAATGATGAATAGAGTGAATGGGAATGGAGAGATCATTTCAGAAGTTTTTTTTTTTTTTTTTCCTTGAGATGGTGTCTTGCTCTGTCACCAGGCTAGAGTACAGTGGTGCAACCATAGCTCACTGTAGCCTTGAATTCTTGGGCTCAAAAGATCCTCCTGTCTCAGCCTTCTGAGTAGGTGGGACTACAAGTATGAGCTACCTTGCCCGACTTTCAGGCACGTTTTTAAAAGACAGAATATTCTGAACTGAGTGACCAGATATGCAGAGACAGAAAGGAGCAGAACTAGAGAACACTGTGGTTTCCAGCCCAGGTGGCTGAGTAGATGAAGTGCCTGTTTTTAAAAAGGAATGGGTAAGTCAGGGAAGAGAGGCAAGTATATGTGTATGTAAGATTATCAATTCTATTTTAGACAAAGATAGTTGGTGGGATTTGGAGGGAATTGGTAGCAGGTAACCTGACTATGCACAGAAGTTGGGATTAGAACCAAAAGAAACAGTTTAACCCCAGAAGGTGTAATTCAAGTTGTGAAAGAGGATGAGATGCCCCAGAAAAAAATAGAGAAAAAGAATGAAGGTAGAACACCTGTGTAGTTCTAAAGAAAAAGGACCCAAGAGGGAGAGAAGTTCCACAAATGTGTGAATTAAGAGTTGCAGGCCGAGCGCAGTGGCTCATGCCTGTAATCCCAGCATTTTGGGAAGCTGAGGGGGGCAGATCACCTGAGGTCAGGAGTTTGAGGCCAGCCTGGCTGACATGGCAAAATCCCATCTCTACTAAAATACAAAAATCTCTACTAAAAATCTCTACTAAAAATACAAAAATCAGCCAGGAGTGGTGGCACATGCCTGTAATCTCAGCCACCCAGGAGGCTGAAACAGGAGAATCACTGGAACTCGGAAGGCGGAGGCTGCAGTGAGACAAGGTCACACCACTGCACTCCAGCCTGGGTGACACTGAGACTGTCTCAAAAACAAACAAGAGTTGTAGATGTGGCCAGGCATTGGTGGCACACGCCTGTAATCCCAGGGCTTTGGGAAGCCAAGGCAGGAGGGTCACTTGTGTCCAAGAGCTAGAGACCAGCCCATGGAACAGGACAAGACCCCCCCCAAAACAAGTGACAGATGGAACTGGGATAGAAAGACGAGAGCTGAAAAAACACTGTCAGAGTGTGTGTGTGTGTGTGTGTGTGTGTGTGTGTGTGTTCTGAGACACAGTCTCACTCTGTTGTCCAGGCTGGAGTGCAGTGGTGTGACCTCAGCTCACTTCAACCTCCACCTCCTGGATTTGAGCGATTCTCTTGCCTCGCTCAGCCTCCCGAGTAGCTGGGATTACAGGCTTGTGCCACCACACCCAGATAATTTTTTTGTATTTTCTAGTAGAGGTGGGATTTCTCCAAGCAGGTGATCTGCTGGCCTCAGCCTCCTAGAGTGCTGCGATTACAGATGTGAGCCACCGTGCTCAGCCTGTCAATGTCCTTTCACACTGGATTTGGTAAAAGTAAGAGGGCTGGGCACAGTGGCCCACGCCCAACACTTTGGGAGGCCAAGGTGGGAGGATCACTTGAGTCCAGAACTTCAAGACCAGCCTGGGAAACAGCCAAAATCCTTCTCTACAAAAAACTTAAAAATTAACTAAACCTGGTGGCACGTGCCTGTAGTCCCAGCTTCCCAGCTACTCGAGAGGCTCGACTAAGCCCAGGTTATAGTGAGCTATGATTATGCCACTGCACTCCAGCCTGAGTGACAGAAACAGACCTGTCTCAAAAACAAACAAACAAACAAAAAAAAGTACCTTGAGTGAGTGGTAGGAGAAGCCAGAAGCCAAATTCAAAAGGATTAAGCAATAAGTGATGATAGTAAGAAAGTGAAATAAATCCAGGTTCATCCAGACACCTTCCTGATCTAGTCTTGTTCCAGAAACATTGTGGTAGCAGGGTTTTACATTTTATTTTGCGCTCCGCGGCCCTCCAGATAGTGATTTGAATGATTAAGTGAAACTCTTCTTAGGTTAAGTGTCCTAGTCCACGCTAAAATCATCTTGTTGGTCTCTCTGACGCTGTCAGCGACTAGTATCAGCGCCCGGCTTGTCCGCGCTGCCCGCCGCGTCCCTGGCCCGGATATGGGAAGCGAAGGCAGTGAGCATTTCCACAGCGGTGAGATGAGCGCCGCGCATAATCAGGCGATGCCCGTCTCCTGGGGAAGAAACAAACGAGTCAGATAGGGAGGGACGGCAGTGCTGGGGCTTAGGGGCGCGCGGGCTGTTTGCTGTCCCCTCCTGCCCGTCTCTCCACCAAGCCCACCGAACAGCACGTCCACGCAGGGATCGGAGCCGTCGTGCCTCACGTCCGCAATCACTGAGCAGTTGAGATTAGTGGAGCGGACCTTCTCGCTGCTCACTGCTTGGAGGAAGGTCCTACGGTGGAAAAACAGAGTGAGCGCCAGGCTGAGGGCTTAAAGCCCCAGCTGAAGGAAGGCGCACCACTTCCCGCTTCTACCCACTTCCCCTTCGTACCTCGTCGATTCCACGTTTTTCTCGAAGGGGCAGAACTGAACCCGAACCTCCTTGACAGGCCGCAGACCAAGCCGAGCCAAGGTAGCTGCCATGGTGACCTCCACCCCGGAAGAGCTCGTGCAGGCGGAAGTGTCGCATTGCGTTAGGCCGTGAATGGCTGCGCTTCTGCGGGATAGAGACTTCCGGCCGTCGGCAGGCAAGTAGGCCTGCGAACCGCAGCTCAGGGCTCCCGAGCCCAGGCGGAGGAAGTCAGGAAGGAGAGAGGTGGTTTCGGCACAATGCATGGGGGAGCCTAAAGTAGGCGGTCAGCAAATACAACCTATCATTAATAGTCCTCTCATACAATGGTGAAACCCATAAATAAATGGCGCCAAAAACCTTTTGGCACGAATATACGCCTGTTTCCTGCAGCCTTTCCCCTTCTGTACCCTGCTGGGCCAGATCTAGGCTAACTCGAGCTGAAGTCCTGGCTCCTTCCAAAGAGAGAGCACTAACACAAGCCAGGATGATCCACACCAGAAGGTAAACACCATTCAGGTAACTGAAGATTAAACACAGTGAGCTCTGAATAGCCAAAGCTTCAACGTGAAAATACTACAGCCTAATATTCGTAAATGACTGAAAATAGTAATAGGAAGGGCAGTACAGGGTAATACAGTCCTTGGGGCTGATCCAGGTGTAGAAATGCCTATTACACCTCTGTAGTTCCCCATGAATTAGCCTGGCTCCGAGGACTTAAGTTGAAGTGCATTCTAGCCTGTTTTCTTTTTCTTTCTTTTTCATTTTTTTGAGACAAAGTTTCGCTCT